CCCCGCAAGTGTCCCTGCCCCGCAGACCCCGGGGTGATTTCTGGAGGAGCGGTGCTGGGGACATGTATAGGGTGTAGTGACTGTCCCTGAGATCACCGCACGTACATCGCACCAGACCAGAACCATTAAAGTCTATAGTTATAGTAACAGACATTATTGTGTATGATTATAATTAGGCATATTTAAAATAGATTACATTATAGTAAATAATATGTATTTGGATGTTATAACRTTATTATAATGTACATTATAATATTATTTTATGTGCAATACAGTCTGCAGTATACAAAATATTTATATAAGTTATATATTGTATATTATATATTATATATTATGTATTATATATTATACATTATATATTATATATTTATTATAGATTATATTATATATTATATATAATTTATGTATTGTATTGCATGCTGCGTACTGCATACCCTATCTTGCATGCTATTTATTACATTACGTTATAATATATTACAGATTACATCAATTACACATTACCATATATATGCATATTCAATTATACAATATTGTGCATAACTGATACACCATTCTACATTCTACAGTCTATATATGACATAAGATATGCAATATATTATACATGCTATATGTTATGCTATGTCATATTATATTGCAGATTATGCCAATTTTATTATGTATCATATAGAATGTGGCATGTAATGYAGTACGTATTACAATATACAATATCGTATATTATACAATGCATTATATAATTTGATATTTTATGATCTATATTTCACATGATAGTATATGTGATGTATGATGTCTGAATTATTATATATAATGTATTAGGTATTGCATTAATTTGTATTATTCTTATAGTTATTGTTATAAATATTACCGTTTATTATTATCAATAGCATGGTAGGTATTATATGCTAAATATGTTGTCATATATTAGCTATACTACAGATGTTATTAGATACAAATATATTTTTTGATTATGATAATAGATACGACTAGTATGTCATGAGGTTTAATATACATTTTCTATATTATATTTCTATATAATTTCTRTATAATATTTTGCTATTAACAGCATCTATTACAGATATCATTATTGTGTTATTAAAGTTGAGGTTTTGTTTGCATTTCTTTGATTTTTCCCAAGTACTTTATGCTATTGGCAGATATTCCCGTTATTATTTTTCCAGGCAGCTGACCAGCCCTGGAGCTGGTATGGATGGGGCAGCACTCATCCCATCCCATCCCATCCCATCCCATCCCATCCCATCCCATCCCATCCCATCCCATCCCATCCCATCCCATCC